TGCTTACTTCCTTGCGTACGGATGACAGCTGCGTATGAATTAATTAATTTATTTTGTGGTGCTTTCACTTCCTGAGACAGCTGTAAGCACTGTAACTGCCTCGAGGGTGCTTGACCATATTAACACAACGTGGTGCGATCATCCCACTTGCGCGGAGTGAGGCTTCTCCACCCCGCACAACATGATCCACTCGACCACCGTTATGGTTACCGCCAAAAAAAAAAAAACAGAGGTAAAAAAAAAACGGTAACCTGGTTGCCGAGTTCACGAAGTGAATTGGCTTGTTTTACAACGTCGTTGCCAAGCGACGAAAACCCAACCCCGATGGCAAACACCGAGGAGGGCGGGGGGGGTCTATCGACCAAGGGCGGTGGAGGATGCTTGAAAGAGCTCTTTATTATTCAGAAACTTGTGTGTTGGAGAGGAAACATGGCGTCCCCAAAACCGAAAATGAACAAACACCCAAAATACAAAACACACCCAACCTTGTTCTGTCTACTGGTGCTCGAAGGTGGTTCTTGAGGTAGAGTAAAGAGGTACCCCTCCACCAAGGCTACAAACATGATCGTGGAGGACAAAGGCCCCGCTCACACATACCAAGGTCGTTGGAAGCCGCAACAACCGCCGCGTCAATCCTTGCCACGCAGCAGAAGCAAAGAAATCACAAAAAAACGAATAATCTACCTCGCCCTAATTCTACACCCCAAGCATGTACACCCCAGCGCAGGCCCAAAAGCAAAATTGCTGTTGTTGGGGAGTTCACCTTGTGACATGCCACGACCAACAGTCGCGCGGAACCCAGGTCCAGCCATGCCCTTCTCCCTAGGCACGATCGGCACGTCGTAGGCGGCGGTGTCTCCATAACAGCAGCAGCCGCAGCAGCAGCAGCAGCAGCAGCAGCAGCCGCTCCCCGTACTGCTGCAACATCGTCCGGAGACACGAAATGCCTCGTGTGTGTCTCCGCCGAGCCTCCTTCGATTTCAGGCGAGGCCCTCGTCTTCCCCCCCGATGCAAATAGTTGCCCTCCACAGGCGCACAAGCCCCGTCCTCCTCCTTGCCGCCGGCAAGCCCCGGGAGGGATTTGCTCTGTGGGAGGGTCTCCACTTCCGTCGTGTGCCTGCGTCGAACACATTCTCGATGAGAGACCGAGGCTCACAAAATAATGAGTTTGCGGCGCCAGTTTGGTCTAGCAGCAACGACCCCAAGGGGTGAAATTTGTGCCGCACGCTGGTCTGCCAAGATGCGCCACAGAAAGCCGAGAAGAAGGAGTGGGGACTAAGGGGAACTTGGTGGGAAGTCACGAACAGCAAACGAACCGGATGGCCCGAGCGCATATCGCAACGGTAGATGAAGCGAGTGCTGGAAAACAAGATGGACGCTGCCGGGGGCTCCGTGTGTCGCTCTGACAGAGCGCAGACTCGCCAGCAGGCGTCGCTCAGCAAATACGAGACACGCGTGCAAAGCAAGCGGCCCAAACTAAAACGGCGAACCCCAGACCCTTGTCCGCGCGGACCAGCCTCCAAACGCGCAGTGCGGCAAAACAATACGAAAAGCACGCCCGAGTGTAACTTGCATCAACTTCCTTGGGGTGTGTTAGGGAGAAATCCAACCATACCTCTGATGACGATCCTGGTGGCAACCGCCCGATGTCTTTCCCCAGGATGAGGCGACAACAAAAGTTCACCAGCGCCCGCCGGGGCAGCTTGTGCCTCAGGGAGCATGCCACGGTCAGCGCGGCGTGTCGATCAGCCAGCGGCATCCCGAAAAGCCGGCTTCGACTAGAAAGGGGGTGGGGGGGGGTGTTGGAAAACAGGTCAGAACGCGTGATCGTCGTCAGGGAGACCGCGATAAACTCTGCCGTGGAGCTTTTTTATTTACGCGCAGCATGAAGGCTATACGTATACTGTACTGGGGGAATTTCCTACAGCTGCTGTCGCCCATGGTGTAGACGTAAAGCACACGGCTTAACCTCGGTGCAGGGATATTTACGTTGCATTTATTATACTTGTATGAACCGCTGCGATACAAAGCGGGCTTCGTTTCATTCAAGCAAGCTTCAAAGGAAGTATGCCTTCAGGCGAACTGCCTAGCAGCAGCCGAATGGTACACCTGAAATTCTAAAAAGCTTGAGAGAGTGCTGCGCAACAGGGAAAACAATACAGTGTGTGAGTGCCGTAAGCGTGCTCTCAACCCTACTCTCTGCGTGCAAGTCGAGGACGTTAGAGGGGAGGGGGCGGTGTACTCATAGTCGTGCACGCCGTAGTCGTTAGACCATTGACCTCGAATCCCTACAAAGCCGGGACGGAGCACGCCGGGTTCTCACCGGACCAGACTCTCCATCACCAAGCGCGAAGCACCGTGAGGTATTCGGCGAGTCGCATGAAGGGTGCGCTGCATCCTGCTAAGGGTGTTCGGCATCTTGTGCTTACTTCCTTGCGTACGGATGACAGCTGCGCATGACTTAATATATTTTCTGGTGTTTTCACTTCCTGAGACAGTTGTAAGCACTGTGTAACTGCCTCGAGGGTGCTTGACCATTTTAACACACCGTGGTGCGATCATCCCCCTTGCGCGGAGTGAGGCTTCTCGACCCCGCACAACATGATCTACTCGACCACCACTATGGTTACCGTCAAAAAAAAAAAGCAGAGGTGAAAAAAAAAAATTAGAGGGGAGGGGGGGCGGGAAACGTAGCTCACCAGGCGAGCTGCGGAAGCTCCGCAGAATCGAGATTTGCTCTGTGGGGTGTTTGGTGTCTTCTACAACTCGCCGACCCCGACCTCGCGACCGGCAGCACGAGCTCCTCTTGGCTGAGGGCGTGGAGCACCTCGGCTACGTTCAAGCTGTTGGCTAGGATGTTGGGAAGCGATGGAACGGGCACGAGAAAGGCGGCGATGCGGCTGACGATGAGGGCTTTGCAAATTCTACTTGCGTGCGTGCGCCTCTGTGTAGTGTGACAAGACAGCTGGGAAAAGTTGGAGCAGCTCCCGTTTACTCTCTAGGTCCATAAAAAAAACACCAGGTCTTTTCCAATAGTGTACATTGGCGCAGAGGTCTATTCACGCCGTTCTCAAGAGCTGTGGTTTTCTTTCCCAAATCGTTAACTCGCGTCGCCATGTACGAATCCTGAAACCCATGAAAACTGACTTGCCATTCCAGGGTGGCACCTTACCTACTCAATAGGGTACCAACGATATGTGACACAAGATATCACACCCCTTAGACGGATCTCCAAAGCTCGATTACTCCACAGAAGCAACAGTTACTGTGCCGAAAATGCGGTGTTGGAACCGGCTCATCGAGGACTCTTCGGGCACGCATCGTTTGATTTATAGCTCCTCTTCGACCTCTCCGAGGTGGAGAAGTAGAATTTTCAAAATTCAAAGTCAGTCCAGGGGGTGTGATATCTTATGTCACCTTCGGAAGGCAATTCAAATTCGCCATGGCCAGCCAAGTGTGAACAGCCGTGGTTGGGTGAGTGGGGGTGGTGAACGATATATGCCAACGCTCCATTTCGATATCACTACTATCTATGCGTAAGACGTTCATAACACTCCCCAGTACCCGTAGTGCCTGCTCAAGGGCTGCAACGATATACAGCGGTTCCACTGCATCGGTCGGTCAGAGTCAACGCAACACACCAGAGACGAAGCAGTCTGCTGTCTCCGCCCTCGCACCGGCCTGAAGAAAGCCGGCCAGTAGCCCCTCTGCTTCTCGGGAATCGTGCCGTGCGACGGTGCCGGGCAAGGTGAAGTCGGCTGGCCGGAATTCCCACCATGGGAGCCGTAGACCGTGTTCCATGCCTGATCTCTATCAAGCTACTGGATAGCTGGATCATGTCATGATGGGTGTACTGGCTGCGAGTCCCGCTTTCGCTCCGCAAGGGGCACCGCAGAATCATTGCCATCATTTCTCCCGCGACGCTGGCTTTGCTTGCACACTCGACTGCTTGACTGTCTCTCTCGCACACTGCTGGGTTTGCACCAGACAAGAGGAGGAGCGGCGGATATAGGAGGGGGCGGAGACGATGGCTGGACTCCTAGTGCACGGCGCATTGTCCTTCTTGTCAGGGCTCTCTGTGGCGATCACGGGATTCGACTGCGATTCCGCCCGAGAGATTTTGACTGAATTGGCACCGGACAGCAGTGCGTTCGATGCGTCCTCGGCGATCAACATGGGGTTCTCAGCGGGGCTAGTGACGGCTGTTCAGGTTAGTCTCAACACTTCTTAATTGCCTCCAAATGATCAGGACCAATACGCTTTCCTGCCTGTATTGTCTCGGTCCAATACCGCTGGTGACGGCTGTAAGTATCTCGGAATGCAGGTGCGGCAAGATATAAGACTGTCGTGCCACTGCATGTCACGGCTGTCACCACCTCTCGCTACAACAGCAGAGCAGAGCTGCCGCACGCGCAGCAGGAACAACACCCCCAGCATGGAAGGGACGGTGGGGAACTGGCCGTTTCTACCAGCACGTTAAGAAAGACATGACCGCACCATCCGTTACACTCTTAATTCTACGGCAGTACGGCACCGCACATTGTGCGGCGTAATCCCGTCGTCTGGCTCCTGCAGTTCTATCCGCCATCCGCCATGCTGTCATCCACCGCGCAGACTCGCTGGCCAACCAGCATTGGAGGAGGTGGTGTCCTCGTGCAAAATCCAACAATCCTCCGGATGGAGCCAAGTTCGATCACTCTGGACACGTTGTTGCAACAGTACACACACTTCGCCATGGAGCTCTACGCCTCAAAAACATAGCACTGGAAGATGCCACGGGTTGACATAAATGAACACCTGTGCTATCTCAAGCCCAGCTGAACAGGATATCGTAACATGCACCAGTCTGCTTGTCTCAAAACACTCCCAAGACCCAGCTGGCGTCGTGTCAATAGCTTGGTTACATGAACGCGTACCACAAACTTGATGGCTTCACGCAAGCCCTCGCACGACCCCACCCTAAGAATCCGAGATGCTTGTTGCACTGAGTACAGAAATAGTCTACTTTCACCACAACGTGTCCCTATCCCTCACATGACTGCTTGTGTGAACCTCATCCTATGAGATGCGGAATATATGGCCCCAACAGCGTCCAGTTACAGCAGGTTCTCCCATGTTTGATCGCTGTTCACATGTGTACGAACTCGCCCGTTGGCAGTACAACGTCAACTACGGAGTTTTCCCCCCGTAGTACAGGTTTCCCCCCCGCCCATGACCTTTTCGGCCTGGAAGCATGGTTTCGTTGATGTAGCCCTGGGGTAGATTGTTTTCGACCCCAAAAAAAAGGTCCCCCCCGGGTATTTCAATTTCCCCCCGGGGTACCAGTTTTCCCACGAGTTCGCCCCGGGGGGATGAATTTCCCTTATCTTCTGAGTCGATTTTGTTGCATCGCGGAGCACAAAAAGCATGATATGGGACGGGAAATTAATCTGCAGATCTCCGCTTCGAGCGAGATTAGGTGTACCGTTTGTCACTTGGCCCTCGTCATTGTTTCATGGGGTAAATGCTTTTGTTTTCTTGTAAAAACGCCACAAGCNGGGGTACCAGTTTTCCCACGAGTTCGCCCCGGGGGGATGAATTTCCCTTATCTTCTGAGTCGATTTTGTTGCATCGCGGAGCACAAAAAGCATGATATGGGACGGGAAATTAATCTGCAGATCTCCGCTTCGAGCGAGATTAGGTGTACCGTTTGTCACTTGGCCCTCGTCATTGTTTCATGGGGTAAATGCTTTTGTTTTCTTGTAAAAACGCCACAAGCTCCCAGCACCACGCCTTCCGACTGGGTTCCCATCGGCACACTTGCTCCGGCTGAACTTCAGCACCTCCAGCTTCTGCACGTTCTCGTATGCGCTGCGCCCGCTCTTTCCAGATACTCGCCGCAGTGTGAACGGAACTGGCGGGTACTCTCTGGAAGGCGGGCCCTTCCTCTTCTTGGAATCACTCGCAGGACGAGACAAGCTATCCCAGCTGCTGTGCTCCTTGCCGTCTTTCCTTCTCTTTATCTTCATTGCTCTTACGTTCCTCCTCCCTCTGCTTGTTGAACGCTTGCTCGTGAACCTTATCCATCTCAGTTTCGCCACTCTCTGTGAGTGTGTGGTGTGTGGACCATCAATATTTTGCACAACCCTCCGGGGGGGGGCTTCCCCCCTGGGTAGCATTGGAAAAAAAGAAACTAACCCCCCGCGGTACGTCAATTTCCTCCCGGGGGGGCTGGTTTCAGAAAATAAACGATCCCCTCCCGGTGGGAAAACTCCGTAGTTCACGGTAGACCACCCGCGCTACACGTCAGGGATGGCATGGTTTTGACCCCCCCAGCGACCTGTCAATTGTTTTCGCTGGTTCTGACCAACAATTTACGCAGGCGGTGCTCCTGCGGCGGTTGATCAACGGGGCGCTCCTCCTCAACACGCTGCCCCTGACATTCATCGGCGTGGTGCTGTCCTTGAACGTCTTCTCCGTCTCCGTGCTGGCGGCCCTGGTGCCCGCCCTCGGTGCCTGCCTTTTCGGGCTTTCCCTGGCAAAACTCTGGATGGAGCTGGCGGTGAGCAAGACACAGCGAGATCACCTTTTTCTCTCTCTCCCTTTATGCCATGTGTGTGCTCGATCCCGCGGCTGCTGTTCGGTACAACAACCACCGTGTTTTCTCAGAGTTTTTCGTTCTCCAGACAAGTGTATGCCGTTCGACAGCGTACTCTCCTTGGTGTCTTTGGTGTACGCGTGTCTCGAACAACAGGACTGTCGGCACGAAACGTCGGTGCGAGAGCCTGACGACGGCCGCGAATCCTCACGCTCGTGGAAATGGACAGGCGAGTGATGACTCGATACCCTTGAACCCCCGCGGCGGGTGCAGTTCGCAGCCCCACACACAACCTTTGAATATTTTGCTCTCGCGATAGTTTGTGTTTTCCCTCTTTCCGCCCATCGATCGAGTGGCCTCGGTTCCTCTCGAAACCCCGCCAAACTTCCACCACCCCCCATTTTGAGGTTAGACCAAAACACGCGTATTTTGATTGGTGGGTGTGTTTTGTCATGGTTCTCCACTCTCTAGGCGTTCTGTCGGTGGCGAGCCTTACGGGCGGGCTGCTCTCCGGGAGCTGCCCCCCTCCCGGCCCGGCTTTCATGGTAGTGCTCCTGGCCGCGGGAGTCGGAGGCAGCGGCGACGCGCTGGCCGTTGGGGGCGGGGAGTGGAGGGCCACGGCAGCGCTAGTAACTTGCAGCGCGTCGCTGCTGCGAGTCGGCCTCCTTCTGTTAGAGAATGGAGCCGCCGTGGGGCCGCTGCCAGAGGTGAGGGTGTGACCGCGCGTGGGTGCGTGCGTGCTCGCGGGTGGGCGTGCGACTAGCAATGCTGTTACTATTCCCCCTTTGGGTATTTGCATGCGTGCGTGCGACTACAGATGTTACGTTACATTTTCCCGTTTGTGTTTCTCCTTGAGGTCGACGGCGTTTCAGTATCGGTTTCTCACCAATGGAAATGAGTCGAACCGCCTTCGCGAGGTTGTCACGTTCAGGAGGAAATAGACCAGGGAGGGGGGGACGCAGAGCCTACCTAACCCTAACCCAACTTCCCCGATTGCATGCTTCATCCAACATGTTTACTCAATCGAAAAACCCTGTGAAGGCATCTCAATGAGTCAAGACACAGCGGGATGCAATGTTAGGGCGTGCCACACGCGAGAAGAGGTGGAGTGCATCATGCACTGGATGAATAATGAATGGTAAAGCTCCCTGTTCCTTCTTAACGGTGTCGAAAAGTTGGACGGATCGGGTGCGAGTATACCCGACGCGAGAATAATTCCACCGCATCCTGGGATCTTGTTTCAATAGCCAGAACAAATAGAAGACACGGAATTTCATGTACACGCGCACGCAATACGCAGGTGTCGGGGCTGGTCTTGGGAGGCCTCGCCGGCCTCGGGATCGGCAACCTCTCCTTGCGCCTGCTGTCCCGCCCCCGCTGGGGAATCAACGACAGCAAAAACGGCTCCGCCAACTCCGCCGCGGACGCATACCGGTGGCACGACACGCCCACCGCGGCGGCCCTCCGGCGCGCCGTCCTCGCCGTCGCACTTGTCTCCTCCATCGCCATGGCCGCGGGCGGGCCTCCGGCGGCCCTGGCGGCGGTGTCCCGGCCGGTGGTCGCGGGGGCGCTCGCCGCGACGCTGCTCGTCGCCTCGTTCGGCGCGCTGTGGGGCTGCACGGTCGGCACCGAGGGCGCGGCCGGCGGCGGCGGTGGCGGTGCGCGGGGGGCGTACGGCGAGGTGGCCGCGGACGACCGGGAGGCCCACGAAGTGGAGCTTAGGCCGTTCGTGGGCGAGGGCACCGACGACGAGAACGTTCGCGGGGACGAGGACTACCTGGACGAGGAGGACGGCTACCTTGCGGATGAAGGGGAAATGGAACGCAGCGCCAGCAGAGGCAGCAGCAAGAGGGGAAGTGGGGGTCAAGTTGAGTATTCCACGTTGCCCCCGGCGAGGCGTTCGTCTTTGGGGCCGCCTCGAAGGGGCGTGAGCAGTACGGGGGCGCGGGCGAGCGGCGCAGCAGCTCCACCAGCTGCGGTTGTGGGCAAAGAGAAGATGAAGGAAGCCCCGCTGGCTAAGTCTATGTTTCCTGCCGGGCACACTGTTGAGTTGTGAAAATAGGAAAGATGCATGGCTTTTGTGCCCGTCCGTGCGTCGGTCTTCTGTGCTTTTGGCCGTGGACCTAGCCGTCTACATGGCTGCACTATAATAGTATTGTACAACGCTTTTTTTTTTTTCAGATTGTTCTATCTCCATGATACCGTCGGTCCGCGGCGCAATGTTCTAGGGCTTGCCCCTGGTAATGCCGTACGATGGCCTCAGGGAGAGTTTCCCTCTGGAGGGGTTGGCGCTCCTTGTGCAGCGCGCGTCCTGGATGTTCTACACCTGACTTGAATCCTCGTGGTGCGTTTAACACTCATTACCTCGGTGCGCGCTGCTGTCTTAACGGGTTAAGATTAGACTAAGCCCCAAGGCTGAGATATCAACAGGCTGAATTCCTGGTGCCTTGGGTACAATTCTTTCGCCTTCCCATTGCCTTTCGTCTTCCTCATATAGTTCCCGGGGAGTAGTCAAATGTGTCATGTATTTCCAGTATTATACTGGTGCTCCTCCCGCCGCCTTGAGGTGGATGAATGATTTGATCCTCTCGGGGGGCTATGCAAGCATCATTGTGTTAGTACTCGGGGTAGATCTAGGTAGAAGTCTCCGAAACGCCCGTGTGTTATTGTGTTGAGTCTGAAGATGTTGTTTATGGCTGTGAGAATCAGCGTGGTGGGATCGAGTTTTGTCGATGCTGCGAAAAACCTCAGGCGCACCCGTCGCATGTGCTATGGTGTGACCAATTGTCGACAGCTCGATTATAAAGGCATTGGCATACGTGGCGCACAAAGTCCGCTGCCTCGTCGGCGACAATTTTGATTGCGGCAGGCAACGTTTATGTCATGTTTTTTTTCGCTTCCGTTCGGTGTCTGCAGTCCCATGGCATTCGTACGGGTATACATGGAACAACGTGTAGACTGCGCCATCTTGGCTCACGGCTTACCTTTGGCAGGACACAGAAACAAGAGCCTTGATCCTGTTGCTTACTGTTCCTCATCACGACTCCCGAGAGAGAAAAAAGTCTGCAAGAACTCAGAGCCGGAGGGAGGGCTTCGTCTCCGTGATCCCTTCCGTAGGCACAGCCCACATTTTGTAACTATTTGTGGTGGTTCACTCCTCTCTGCTACTGCTGTGCTGTGGCACTTGGCGTCTCAGCAACAATCGCGGCCTACTGCAGCGCTCCGCTCGAGGAACCAAAGGAGGACGCCGTCATGACGTGCTCCACGCAGCTTTTTTCCTCACGAGAGACCACGGTAGGAGCTGGAGGGTCGACGAACGACACTGCTGTCTTCAAACACAATCTCCCCTCCTCTGGGCGGTCGCTGCCGCTGACCGTTTCCGGTTTCTCGGCCGGGTCGGGTTCCGGTGCCGGAGGCTCCTCAGGCTCGCGGAAAATTGGCAGGGTGTTGGTGAACTCTGCTCCGGGCAGGTGCTTGTGGAAGACCTAACGGGGTGGTGTAAGTTGCGCTTTCAGGGATGTAAGTGGGGATTTATGCATGGTTCGATGTTTCGTGGTAGAGCGTTTCTAGCGCTAGCAAAGGGGTCTGAGCTGTTGATGTTGCGGCTGGTCTACGCCGCAAATACTGCGTAGGCTGCTGCTGGATGCGCTAGTATGTAGACGTGTCTGCCTACGCACCTGCTTCCGGTGCGGGAGGTCGCTTTCCTCGTCGCCCATCAGGTTCACCGCCTTCACCTTTTCTTCGGGAGATATCTTGTTGTGGCGAACCAGACAGTAGTCGCGTGGGTTTGACAGTTGTGTTTTGGGGTCATAGTTGTTGCCGGGATACACATTACACGCCACCGCTTGATGCCCGGGAGTTGAGAAAGTCAGGCCCGAACAGAGAATCAAAGTCCTTGACCATGTGAACATGCGCTCAATAAAATAGCAATGCTGAAACCTATGTAGTCGATGTTGTGATATCACAACGCGTAACAATAGAACCTCGTGCAAACAAAAAAAAGCTCTTGAGTTTACTCATTTGCTTTGATTTTCCGATCACAGCACATCCCTAACCTTTCCTTGCACCCAGCTATACGGGAATTCGATTGATCGAGGTTCGCCCCATAAAACTTACTCATGCATCCCAGTACAAATTCTTTGCAGTTTGTCAGAGTTCGGGAATTTCATCCATTCCTGTGACACATCGGTGTTGCGCGGTTATGTCTCAGTTCTGCTGAGCAGGACGTCTTTATACCTCTACCCTCCACTAGCTCCCTTTATCTGTCTTCTTCGGGCTTCATTTCCAAACTAGATTTTCAAGCAAATCATTCCTGCCGTGATGACCGTAGCAATCAAGACCCACACTCCAATACCTTGTTCCTGTCGAGTAGCATCAGCCCTTGCAGCCGGAAAATCACCCGGGCGCGGTAAGCTTCTAGACGATCCATGGGGTTCCCCTCTAGAACCAGGGTATGCAGAAATTGGCACTCCTGCAAGTACTCAACCTGGCGCACTGCCGAAACTCTTTCGGTTCAACGAGCCAGAAGTCAAACCAACGAAAACAAGGGGCCCGGGGAGGTGTTACTTTTGGCCTGAGCATACTCATACTTTCTAGCGAGTGGGAAGCGACTTGCTCTGGGTCTTGTGAGCGCTTGTATATTATTAAGGGGAGGTGTGGAACTACGAAGAAAACGGTTTGCCTTCCCCGTGGAGTATCGAAAAAATGAGCTGGGTTAAACACGTTAGTTTCTTATCGGTATCACTCGGAAACACCGTGTCGTTGTTTGCGGGTTGCGGTTGGGTACTGCTCCACTCTGTGCGTGGTTGATGTGGTGTCCGGTATTTCAGAAATGAATCGCTTTCGGAGAAGAAAACTTCACAAGTATTTCTCTGTAGTCGATGTCTTGCGAGACGTTTTGTCGCGTTTGCGCATACTTGCGGTATTTGCTATTGGCTGACACCTGATGGAGTGCACCTCGGCGAATCAACCAAATTACAGCGATAAGCGTTTTCCTCATGAACATCTCTGTGTGCTTGCTGCTGCTTACTCACTTGTTGAACCGAACATCCAAGGTGACTAGCGAGAGGCAGGTCTTAAGGTTGGAGAGGTTTCCAATGTCGTTGAAGCCGAGTCGGAGGACGCGGAGGCTAGCTAGCTTGTCGGAGCCGACGTTCTCCGCCTTCTCTATGTAGTTGTGATCGAGGTGCAGCTCCACCAATGGTAAACCTTTCGTGTCGTTAGTTTGTGTGCGTACACGTTGTAGCAAGAGAGGGAGGATTAGCGGTGGGTGGTATAGTGTGGCTGGGGCATTTTTTTTTTATTTCTCGGGCCTCGGGGGAGGAGGACGTTTGTCGTCAAACTGAGCTGGTGGAACGACGGGTAGTTGCCAGAGCAGATAATTCATCGACTGCTATACAGGTGTCATCTCCACCCGCAAATATAACAAGAGTGGGCCTCTATGCTGCACATGTACCATTCAAGTATTAGTTTATTTCTTCCGCCCTTACCTTCGAGTCCCTCGATCCGGCGTATCTTGTTGTTGTTCATCCTTAAAGTTCGAAGGCACTTGAGAGCTGATAGTCCTTCCAGCACTTCGATAGCGTTATGGCTTAGGTCGAGGTGTTGGAGGTTTCGATGGTGCGACAAATCTCTCAGGCTGTCGATGCTGCGCAGAAAACGAAGTACGACCAAACAAGCAAGGAGATACTCGTGTGACCAGTATGCGCAGTAGTGCGACGTCCCGTCATCACTCAGACTCAGCAATATCAGAGATGCACTGCTGTTCTGACCGAGCACCTACAGTAGGACGACATGTTTAGCGGCGTGAGTATTCGGGTGCGTCCTGTGCTCACAAATTACTTTCCAGCAAAGATTAATCTCGGGGCGACGAAATGTTGCAAGGCATGGAGATCCCATGACCAACAGCAACTTTGACGCAGCAATCGTTGCTTCACGCTGGTGATATAGACGAGTTGTTAAGGGGTTGATTCACGGTTGAAGGAAACAAGTCGTTACGCTTTAGTTGCTTTCTGTGTGATGTCTGGTAGAAGTTGATTCTAAAGTAGCAAAATCATTTCCTAGACAGGCTTTCCTACAATCTTTGTATTCTACACCTGTTGCTGCTACTTGTGGGAGGCCCTCACGCCACCTTAGTGTACTCCTGGGGCGTGATTTGGTGACACTTGATGCATTGGAAAACACCGCAGTGATGTGCATATGATCCAGGGCTCTCGCCTGTTATACGACACGTTCACCCGGTGAAGCATGGACGACGAACGCACGACTTCAGATCTCCAGTCATGTAGCCAATCCTGGCTAGCCTGCCACGAAAAGTCCTCCCCTTCGAAGAGCTCATAGTCCAGCAAGCTTTCCATATTTGACATGGCACGGCATGCGAAACGTCAGCGTGAAATAACCCTTGGAAAACATTGGGTAAAGTAACGCAGCGACGGGTCGTCCGTGAAAGTGACGACGCGTGAAATCGAAGCCGGATTAACTGGTCGATAAATGATGTAAACTAATTGGACACTAACACTTCCGTTTGCAATACTTCTTGTCTAGGCTGTGAAAAAGATGTTTCGCAGATCGCTCCCTTTGGTATGGGGCAGCCTAAAAGTCTACCCTTCCTTGTGCACGCAAGCTCGTTTACCTGGTCAGGCAGTTGTGAGATATGTCGAGGTCGTGTAAGAAGGGCAGCCTCGACAGGGGCTTCGTGCTGGATATACAGTTTCCACTCAGATCCACCGTTTGGAGCAAAGGAAATTCGACGATAGAGTTGATGTTGGAAACCCCTGCGTTCGCTGCCATCAATCCGATGTAACACAGACGCAAATCATGCGGGTTGCGTCCGAGGGTGTGAAGACCTTTTTTTATGTCTGCTCGATCAAGTGGTAGTCCTCCTGGTGACTTTCGGTTGAAATCCTTCCTTGCTTTATCCCCACGAATCCTTGCCTGAATCTTAGATGCCGCTGCCTGCTGCTCTCGGTAAAGTGCTGTTTCCTCGCGGCCTCTTGTACCTCGGCATGCAGCCTGGAATGCGAGGCATAACTATATACGTGTGTGGGACAAAAACATACAACTTGTCGCGTCGGCGCGAAAACAGCAAGCTGCCGGTAACATTGTAATTGTTGATTGGTTTTGGCTAGTATTACCCCGTACGCCATTTAAAGACGAAATGGCGCGCACACGCCCGAAGTTGGCAACCGATATTGTGGATATATCTGAGCAGAAGAAACCCCCAGTCTTCCAAGATGTACCTGTATCTTTATCACGGCTTGCTCCCTTTCCCATCGTGCCGTGGCTTCTCTGCGGACGAGGCTCCGTCTTCGTCGATCAGCAGAAAATCGAGCAAGTCGCCCTCGCTGCACTGCCTGTATCCGTGCTGCCGCTTGCCCTTCCACTTCGTCCATTGCAGCAGCGCGGGGGGGCGGAGAACACTTTGAAGTGAAAGTGGTGAAGTGCGCCTCCTTTGTCCCGTGCGGCCGGCGGCGCGATTACTGTTGCTGCCGAAACGGAACTTGTTCCACCGCTTCGGGTTCACCTATTCCGCATCCGCACGCATAACGTGTAACGCACGGCTATTAACGCACGGGTATAAAGTGTCAAGGTTGTAGGCGGCAGATGATATCGCCAGTGCACACATACATGGATATTCAGAGTGCGCGAGGAGCAGCTAGTCGACTATTGCGCTGAATACTTGAGGATTTGTTGCCCATACGGCAAGCTTTGATGAACGCAACGGGACCGCCTCGGTACGAATACCGGCTTGGTTTCAGATATGTCAGCAGCAATGACAGCTCCGTGGTCGAAAGCGGGCTGTGCGGACAACGTGTTGCTTCATCGGACCAATTTACGTGCTGGCGGCAAGACAAATATTCTAAAACGAGCTATATCAATGGATCTCTCAGACCGAAGTCCGGCAACACTCCAAATGCGGTAAGGGTGCACGAGATGAAAGGCTACGTGGTCTGGACGGATTTACGTACACAGAAGCCAATGAGTTGCTAAGATAATCACGAGTATGTTTGCCACAGAAAGCTCATACATCGCCTGGAGAGAGAAAGAGAGAGAGAGACAGAAAGCATGGACAGACAAGACTACTGTGCCCTTGTTGTGAATCGAACGCCAACCTGAGAACCTCCTGGAATGGAAAATCGTCGGTAAAACGTGCATCACAGCAGGCCGCAGCAGCCCATGCTGTCACTGGCCGAGATTTGGCAGCAATGCAGATACAGCGATTTGTTCGAGGTTGGCGGGCTCGAGTCTGGGCGGTCAAGGTGATGCATGATCGAGCGTGGAGGGCACTTCTTCTCATACAGGTACGTACATAATTAGATGAAATCTACTTGTAAGTAAGATTTTCTGAAAAAGAAGTCCAGCCTGTCGTATCTGGCGCTGTTGCGCTTGTTCTTACTTCCTTCGCAACGTTTTTATGATAACACCGAAGTTGTGGGGGGAAGTCGTTATTGATCGGTCTGACGGAGCAAACTGAAAACTGTTCGTGGGTCTACGGACATGGTTTGGATACATTAGCCATACGTACAAGTGTGACGCAGATGGTGTAGAACCTTTTAGGTAGGGGTACGGTGATGATGCACCGGGACCCCCTTTGTTGAGTGCAGCAGCCGCGCTGCCACTCTCTCTTTCTCCTCCTGCTTTCCGAGCACGACAGCGTCCTGGGTACGGGCGTTGTCTCACCGTCTGAAGTTAATACACTACACAAACAAGTCCCGATAAGTACGCGGAGTACGGCCGACAAACACTCTAGAGTTGATTGTCCCTCGAGGGATAGCCGCATCGGGTCATGTCTGCGTCGGACAGCGGTTCCGTCGCAGGGCTGGGGGAAGAGACCTCAGCCACGCAACAGCAACACGCCGAGGATCCGGCGATTGCGAGGCTGGAGGGCCAGTTATCGCAACTGATGAGCGTAGTGATGGAGTTGAAGAGGAAGGAGCCTGGTGACGCCGTGGCGGGCGATGCCAGTAGGGGCAGCGGTGCTGCCGTCCCAAGCCAGAGAGAGGCTCTGCCGCCTGGGGGCGGCGGGGCATTTTCCCGGGAAACGGCCCGTGATGGGCGAAATCACCCGCGGGAAAGCAGCTGGGACAACATACCGGGAGCGAGTCCTGGGGTTCCAGCGAGAGTGACGACTGGCTGGG